CACATGATACAAAGGGCAGTGTCAAACACCGGGGTTCAACGCCATCTTCCCGGACGTGCAAATGCAATCTAGTCATGACACCGTCGGATAGGATGTGGGGAAACCATTGCTCTCGACCTCTCTTCACATAAAAACTAAAAACAGGGCCCACGTGCGTGATGACTTCAGTGTAGACAATCTCCAGTTTGCCGCGATATATTACATGAGCGAGCCTATTAGATGTCCCAACTGCCACGAACAACGTATTTTCAGAACCCAATCCAATGTAAGTGTCTTAACAGTCATGCTTAGAGTGGGGGCAGACACGTAAGGCCGGCTGCGTTCTGCGATCCCAGTCCTCCCATCTAAGAAGGATCGGAACACACGTAATGCTGTGTGTTTGGATACGGACTGGTTTGTTTGATCTACCGGCACAACTTGACCGGCAGCAGCGGAGGGCACGCGGACAGGAACGCATGTAACCTGACAGGTTACTAAATGTGGGCCCACTTCTCCTCGCCCCCTTGCGTGTCGGATACGAGAGATAACACGAGTGTCCCCCTTCCAAGTAACGGACAATAGCAAAAGCAATTATGTACCTCGTCCTGTTCCAAGAACAATCTGGGGGGTGGAGTGTTACAATGTGAAGGTTCAATAGCGAACGACGTCGTATGTGTAACAGCGTGCGACTTTCAACCACCACCACGTTGTGATCGTCAGATTTATGGTGTTTGCTTCGTGCTAGTATTCCTGCTGCACTTGCGCGTCTTTTGACGTATGGTACGCCTCTGTTGACCCCGGGGATGGTGAATTATCATCCCTGGAACCTTAAAGACACTTGAGACTTTCAAAATAATTCGGTAGAACGATTCGTGTCTTTAAGGCGGGGACGACTGTACCGTGTGGTCGTTTAATCATCATCGTTTCGTCCCTATCTTCTTGCGCGCCTCCGTGCTAACTCAGATACCCCGTGCAAACCCAGCGACGCGCGTAGCTCAACTGAACTCACGCTTTGCTACTGCAGTAGTGACGGACCAAAGGGCTTGATTTGGCACGTGTTTCAACTACTGGAAGAGCGTCCAAAAATTACACTATACTGGGCGTAACTTAAGAAGGCACACTCACGCACGACAAGCATGTCAGAGAACGCAAAGTGGAGAGCCCCTTCCTTGTTGTGTAGGACGTTTGTAGGGATGTTGACGGGCTAGGGTTAGGGATCGGGAGGTTACGTATACACACAGCAAGTCTTATTCTGAAGGAAAAATCACGTACACCACAGGCTTCTCGCCTTCACGGCTCTCGCTCTCTCATTTTCATGGGGTCTCCGGCAATGAAGAGGGAAATCCCTGATTTCCAATCCTTTTATGTCCGATGACTACTGCCTCTTCGTGATATCATCGCTCTTTCCTCGTCGTATCATGGCCGGCCCTTCTCTCCACGAAGTTTGCTTTGTTCGGCAGACCCTTTCCTGCCTTGTCCTATCTTGGCCTCGTCCTCGCCCTCTTCTTAGTTTTTCGACCTGATTTTCTCGTCTGGTTAGACGGCATTTTCCGCGTATATTTCACCTTCATTTCCCGCGTGTACTGCTACTGGTTTCCGTCATGCATCTCTCGCGATCTCCCCTTCTCTTTTAAGGTTTCTTGCTTTTGTCTGGTCGGACTTGAGTCCATTTTGTCCGTGTGCGTCTATGAAAGATTTCTGCGGCTGGAATTGTCGCGCTCACTCCCTTTTGCCGCCGTCCTGGAGTGCTACTTGATAGACGTATCATGGCCCTCGTCTCCACGAGGTTTCATTATTTAGTTTGGCACTATCTAGACCTGATTCTCGCCCTCGTAGTCATGGGGTTTTTCGTGCTGTTTTCCTGGACGGACTGCCTTTTCCGGCTTATTTCTGGTTTCTGTTTTCTTTAGCGTTGGCCATTTGTTTGCGGCATTCATCGTGCTGCAGACATATGGCGGGACGTTCAACAAAGAAATTCCCCCTCATCTTGGCTTCCACACCGTCGGCTCACCTGTCGGGACTGCCCTCGGTCATTACCTGCCGTACTTTTCGGTAACCTGGTTGCCGAGTTCACGAAGTGAATTGGCTTGTTTTACAACGTCGTTGCCAAGCGACGAAAACCCAATCCCGATGGCAAACACCGAGGGGGGAGCTTGTTTTACAACGCCGTTGCCAAGCGACGAAAAACCACCCCCGATGGCAAACACCGGGGGGGGGGGCTGAGGGGGTGTGATTAAACCAGGGAGTGTGATAGCACGAACTAACGCCCACAGGGTGTGTGTGAGGGTGTGAAAAATGAGGGGGGGGGTGTACTCATAGTCGTGCATGCCGTAGTCGTTTGACCATTGACCTCGCATCCCTACAAAGCCGGGACGGAGCACGCGGGGTTCTCACCGGCCAGGCTCTCACATCACCAAGCGCGAAGCGCCGTGAGGTATTTGGCGAGTCGCATGAAGGGTGAGCTGCATCCTGCTAAGGGTGTTCGGCATCTTGTGCTTACTTCCTTGCGTACGGATGACAGCTTCGTATGACTTAATTTATTTTCTGGTGCTTTCACTTCCAGAGACAGTTGTAAGCACTGTGTAACTGCCTCGAGGAAGCTTGACCATTTTAACACAACGTGGTGCGATCATCCCCCGTTGCGCGGAGTGAGGGTTCTCCACCCCGCACAACATGATCTACTCGACCACCATTATGGTTACCGCCAAAAAAAAAACCGAGGTAAAAAAAAAAAACGGTAGCCTGGTTGCCGAGTTCACGAAGTGAATTGGCTTGTTTTACAACGTCGTTGCCAAGCGACGAAAACCCAATCCCGATGGCAAACACCGAGTGGGGGGGGGGGTGATAAAAAGGGGGTGTGATAGCAAGTCCGAAAACCCACAGGGTGTGTTTTGGGGTGTGATAAATGAGGATCGTTCTTCCGTGCCGACGGGAGTGCTGTGCTCCTGGTCCACCACGTCCACTACCACCAGCCGAGAGGCTTGGCTGGTGCGTGTTGACTCATCTGCGGTACTCGAACGTGCTGCTGAAAGCGAATCATGGCTGCTGCTGGTGAGGCAATGCGGTGGCTGTCATGTTGGCGCCTGTTGCTGTGCCAGCTGCTGCTGCTGCTGTTTGATCAGCAGCAGCAGGAAGACGAGCCGTGGCAGGAGCCGCTGCTTTGAGTAGAAGAAGCGTGCTCGCGTTGAATAAGGAGATGATCTGTGGCGCCTGTATTGCTGCGGTCGAAGCAGTTGTGGAAGAAGTGGAGGTACCTGCAGCGGCATGCTGCTCTCCCTGCACGACGTTCATGTTGTCGGAGGTCTCCATGGTCCCGTGAAAATATACGGCGTAACCTCAGGGGTGTGCTATCTTATCTAGCCCGGGTGATGAATCGATGGTTTGTCAGGAACGCCCAACATTATCAACCGTGGTGTCGTATTCTGTGGGGGGGGGGGGGTTCTTTTGTTGGTGTGTAATATTGTGTCGCCAGATCGCTGGGCTCTCTGTGATGCTGGTATTTTAGTATTGAGACTTACGGGGCCTTACTGTCCCGATATTTTCCCGCACGCCCTGCCTGGTGCGATGACTCCGGTGGATGCGAAACTCCTGATCCTGGTGCGGGAACATATTAGAACTAGAAGAATAACATTTTCGTTCTATTTTTTCTAACGCACCCTCCCTGTGATGTAACTCCGATAGGCACGATGCTGGAACTATCCCTTGCGGCATTACTTGCCCTACGTGCGATATAACCCTTACGGTTCAAGACAGAAGGAGGGGCGCCCTAATGATACTCGCAATGTACTGGAAATTCCAACAGTATATACCCGTTACATCTCAAAACGCGGTCCGGAGCCACTCTAGGGGGCAACCAGTCCTTCTAGCAGCGGGGGGTTATTGTTTGTTACACCGCTGTATACATAGTAGTGTAGGGATGATCGTACAGGGTTCGCAATGTCACCGATGGACGCCGGTGCGGAACTTGACTGCATAGACATCATGCTTCTATGCTTCGTTTGTGCACACCGGTGTGGTGGCTCTAAAGGGGTGCACAACCAACGCGCGGGCTCGAATAATAGTCTGCAAGTAGGTCATTTTGCCTCCTTCTTGGTTGTGCAGGCCATTATATTAGCCAATGAAGGCGTCCGCTCCATTTAGTCAGAACGGATGTCAGAAGGTACCGAGCAAAGATCGGCAACTGGCAACAACCACAACAACCACAACAACAATAAGCCTCAAGGCGTTGCCCGAAAGGACGATGGTGCCACTGACCAACTCCTTACGTGGACTCTTCCAGACCCATCTTGCAATGCCCACAAGACTCCAAACTATTTTTGGTCGTCCTGCATTGTCGAAATGTCCGTTCTTTCTCGACGTCGCCCGGCAGGCACATGATGCGCGCACGAAACTAAGGAGGCTGAAACGGCAAGCACCGGTTGTCCTTCATGTACATTGAGTGTTATCTAGTACCCGAATATATGCTACTGAGCAGAGACCTGCTGCTGTGGTGAATGTTAAGTATCTAGACTCCAGAACGGCAAGCGTCGCCGGGCAGCAAGCGTCTCTGGTCCGATGCGTGCTACACTACAATATGTATGGTAGAAGGTAGTTGGCGGTCTATGTATCCGTTTGGTGGTCTATACATTGGCTACTATTGTGTAGGTTGTTGGCGGTCGACAGTAGACTGGTCTACAGCAGTAGACTACACGCCGTAGACTAATCGGAGTATTTTGTACTTTGTGCTATTGTATTGAAATTGCTGTTCCACATACATACCCGACGGTAGTGTACCGTAGTCCACGGGGTCTGTTCGATTCACGAGAGTGTTCTGATACCTCCAAGTATGGTCTTCGTAGCTTCGGGGGATCTGCTTGTAGGTGGTGAGGTGCCCGGGAACGACAATGAAAAACAATAGATCTCTCCCTCTCACTTGACTTGGCTGGTGGCCGCTAGTGAACCATAACGCCATCCAACGGACCACAGACCTATTTTTCTGTTCCTATCCCTCCGCCAAGGACCAGGACCCAGACAGACAGGACATTACTGCTCTCGACTTTCGGCAGACTATGTGGACTGGATGCGATATCCTGCAAGCAATTGCACGCAATGGTGGTCTGGTGCACTTCAGGTATCGTGCTATCGCGTAGATAGATGGACGCATCGTCATCACAGCGAAGCTACAGCAGTACTGCTGTACTCACCTGAGCTGCTCGGTGTATTTCCGCAACGACTCTCTCCCATCCTCCAACTGGACAGAGGCAGCGATTGTCCCTCCCCGACCGGGATGCCGCCACAGCAGCTGTGGGGTTGACTTCGAGTGATTCACGTCCGTCCTTCTGGCAGTCGCCGGGTTATAAGCCTGTTGCTCTCTCGCTGCCGGCTGCTGTGTCTTCATTCTTTGGAGTGTGGAGTGATCACGCCGCATTTTTGCCTGCCGTTTCGCGTTTTCCTATCCATGCTTGTGGGCCGCCCCTCTCTCGCGGCGCCGGTAGCAAGATACGATGGCAGCGATCGGCCTCAGCTGCAGGTCTTGCTTTTGGAGCGCCTAGCTGCAGAACGGTCAGTGCGCGACGTGTGTTCTCAACAGCGAAACGAGCGAAACGAGGAAGAGGAGAAAGCGGCGGAACCACTTCGAGCAGATCATCGGCAGCAGTTGGAGCCGCGGCAGCGGCGACGCCTCCAACGCAAGCGCAGCTGCGAACGCTTTTCATGCACTCTGCGGTGCCGATGGTTGGGTTTGGTGAGTCTTGCGATGCGGGGGGGCAAGGCAGTGTAGAAGTCTTGAGGTTGATTAGACCAGCCAGACAAGGTGTAGTCTACAGCCACTTCCTTGTTCATTCTGCTGCCACAACATGAAACATGCGGACTTCGTGCATAGCAAGCACAGCAAGCGCGCTATATTGTACTAGTCTACATTTTTTTTTTTTTGTCTTCACTGCAAATCAGCGCTCACAGCACTTTTTAGTGCCGTTTACTCCAACCCGTGGTCACACAGAAGAGCCCCTCTCTACCCTCCCCTCCTGCGGTACTTTGCCTTCGATTTTTAATGCGAGAAGAGTTCAGCACTCTCTTCCCTCTGTGTACACCACACCACAGACGATCAGATAGACGATAGGTCTTATCGACCCACCGATAGGTTAACCATCATCCGATCGATTGGAATTTGCGGTCCCGATAAGATAATAGGGTTACCCATCGGTAGTTATCACGGGGAAAGATGCTTCCACTCAAAACATCTGGATATAGATCGTTCGACGAGGTAAGATTTTCAAAGCGCCTATCGATGCCTATCGTGGACACCAAGTGGATTGAGAGCTATGCGATCGCCTTGTTTCGTTCATCGCGATAAGTTTCCCGCAAAGACATCGATGGATATCATTTAGACCAGTAGAGGACGGTTAATATTATCGATACCTATTGCCGCCCTCGATATATCGGGGCGGGGCCTGTTGGCATCGATTGACATGGCGATAAGTTCGGCCCTCGCATATCGATAGCTATCGGTGCTGGCGATATGTCGGGCCCTCGCATATCGATAGCTTTCGGTGCTGGCGATATGTCGGGCCCTCGCATATCGATAGCTATTGGTGCTGGCGGTGTGTCGGGGCCCTCGCGTATCAATTATTTGGGTCCACTTTGATGAGCAGCGGCAGCAATTTCCCACACCTGTGTAGGGCGTTCAAAGGATGGCGATAGGTTTCTGCCAAAACCTATCGTCGCGCGTAATAGTTGTCGATAAGTTTCTGGCGTTGAAATTCGCTATACAAGTCTACTCTTCTATAAGCGTTAATTTCAACGCCAGAAAACCTCGAGAAAGAAACGCAGCGACGAAGCACAGCCCGGTGTGCGCACCACAGACCCACCCATTGTGTTCCCGAACACGCATGTACGAAATTGCCGAGGCCCACGTCTACGAGACTTGTTCAAGTTCAAATCACTACAGACATTGTAGCATAGGCCCCCGATTCGACGGCAGGCCCGCTCCTTCATACCCCTAGGTGCTGCTCAGGTTTGTTGAGAATGCTAAAACGGAACACGGAACACCAACAAATGCAAGCACAAGGAAGGTCGGCACGCGTACAAATGTTACGCCTTCCGCAGGAAAAACAAACCCTGCACCAAGTGCTTAGAGCACGAAACTGGTGGAGTGTGTCTAGCTGTCCCCCACCCCTTCTCCGCCAGCGGGCAAGTCCGCGTCCGCGCCGTCGACGTCGTCTCCCTCCTCCTCCGGCACGAAGTCGAAAACCGCCACCTCCTTCTCCTCCTCCAAGATCTGCACGTCTTTCACGGCCTGTGGGTCCGTGAAACGGTTCGGGATGGCGGCTGCCACGGCAGCGTCGTTCAGCCTGGGGATGTCCATGGGGATGCGGTCAAAGTGCGCTCGTAGGTAGAGCTGCATCTCCAAGTTGGCTGGATCAAGCGAGGCGCGCTTGTGGGGCATGAACATATCCGCGATGCAGAAATCTCGCTCCACCACACCCGCTGAGGCAGGGACGCCGTACACCACCTGCACGACCAATCGGAGGGCGAAGGGGTGTTTGTTGCCGTGAAGACGCCAGTAGTCCGCTACGTTCTCCTTCCGCTCCTCTTTTGGAATCTGTGCATGGGCGCGAAAACGTTGATCGCGAGCGTTGAACCTTGGGCATACAAGTGTGAAGCCGGCCATGGCCTTTAAGTCGAGCCCGTGGATTATTGGCAAGCAAAAAATACTATCCAAACGCCTATTCAACAAACCGAGGGAGGTGTTTCTTCTCAGAATTAGAGCCCCCTTTGGAGTTTCTCCAAAAACAGGTACCCAACTCGCGCATTTGAATGCACGTAAAATAATGTCATAAAGTATTTTTGCACCGAACCATGTACTGGAAACTATGTATAGACAGTAGAGCAGTGCTTTGAACCGGGACAGAGGTTTACATGCGCTTGGGTGTTTTCATTTATTTTTACATGAACCCCCACGGCACCACCAGCTACGGGTGGGGTGAGGGGGGCTGATCTGGACTGGCTTCAATCATTGTTCCACGTACAAGCCGTGTCGCCGAGGCCGACAGCAAAACTACAACCCATGCGCAAATGCAATAACCACCTGAGCTGCGAGCCACGCCTTCATGATGGTCTCCGCTTCCTTCCTGGGGTCTTCCTCCACCGGAGTGTCTTTCGTCGTGTCGTTGGCGATGCCTTCGTCGTCGTCGCAAAATCGGCGCCGCCGGCGCCCTTTGTCAGCACAGCACAGCAGTCTACGTGAGAGGGGGGCACAGCACGGCACAGCACAGCAGTCTACGTGACAATCAGATTCAAAAGCCCCCCCCAAGGCCTAAGAGAGTGCAGCGTGGGTGTGATACACATGTGAGGTGAGGAGACAGAGACATTTAGACACACGTAGACACTTTTAAAATCGACAGGCTTTCTTACTGGTGATGGGATCTTATCGTCATTGACAGATGGGCATCGACATGTCATGTCGAAACAGTATCGCGGAGTGCGATCAGCATCGACCGGTTCTTCGCCAACTTGTTGCTTTCCAACGATAGCTGTTGATCGCCAGCGATAAGATCCTATTGGACGTACAACAACTGACCGCATGTTTCACCGAACCCTGTCTTCGCCAACAAAGGGTGCTGATCACCGTGTCGGCGACTGCGTTGATCGGCATCATAGGATATCGACAAGTGTCTCCGAATACTCTCGTTTTCTGCCAAAATCATCAACAAGCCGAGCTACAAACCTTTTGCGTTCGCCAATTCCTATCGATAGGCCCTAAAACCCACCTTATCGCCGGCGATCGGTCCTGTTCTTAGCCTTATCATCCAAGGTATAAGGAGCTTGGTCCACAGCAGCACACCACCACACATATTCCCCCAGAGATTCCTCATGAACTGAAAGACTTACCGACTTGTTGTTGAGACGGGCCGGTTCGAGCTCGTCCTTGGGGACCATCACTCCGAGGCAATGGCGGATTGGCACTTGCTCTACCAGCCTGAAAGAGGATGAGGCGTAGATGACGAACGCTTTCGTGACGCCGAGCATGTTGTGGCGGACCTTGTCGGAGTTGTAGATCATGCTCTGCTTGACCTGGTCGACCTTGTCCAACGTGTCTTGCTTTCTGCATTTTTTTCGCAAGCAAGATTACAACCAGCGGACGATTGGCGCGTTATTGTTTTCAGCGTGACAAGCACAACAACCACCAACAGTACTTCATCGATTGTAACTCATCGATTGCAGGTCTCGTCATGGAGAATGCCAGTGCCAACGCCAACACATGCACAACAGAAACGCCAACACATGCACCACAGAAACAAGACACCCCATCGAACAGAAAAAAAACTCGATGGAGTATGAATTCAAGAAACATCACCTCCTAGAAATGAAAGCACTCACTTCTTGTCGTCGGCGCTGGTGGCGCTCTCGATGTCATGGACCTTCTTCAAATGCTCCGTAGCCCCAGTGGTCGACCCCGAGCAAGATAGAAGTTTGTTGGTCGCACGGCAGGTGTGTGTTGCCATGCACTTGTAGTAACTCTTCTTCTTGCCGTCCAGCAGTTTGGAGACCCGCACGCCCCAAAAGCAAATGAAACTCGGCTTCGACTTGACGTTGTGGATGGAACAGATCGAGTACCCATTCGGTGGCTGGTAGTCTAGGATAGCCGTTTTAACATCGGCTGGTATGTCGCTGGGAAAGTACAGTTTGTGTACATCCGTCTCCCGCTCGGCGGTTCGCGTTTCGACGCTACCACTACCACCACTACCGCTACGGCTACTACTTCCACCACCCCCGCCGTCATTCGGCAGATAGTGGTTCATCGAGGTCTGTGTGTGGTGCCCACTCAATGGACGTGGCGTGCGCTGGGTGCCGGAGGATGCGCCAGCATGCTGGCCATCGTCGGGATCGGCCATGGTGGTGTAATGTGTGGTGATGGGTAGAGGGCGCGAGGGCGCGTAATCTGATCGCCAGCTCGGCAAACATGTAATCGCTAATCGGGTGATTGTTCGGCAAAATTCACCGCACTTCGTTGATTGCCGGCGCTTTTTTGTTATCTTGGAATCTTGACTTTTTCTAATCGCGGTCGGTGAAACTTTTCTTTGGAATGTATGGTTCCCGTTATCCCATCGCGGTCGGCGAATCTTTTCGAATCTTTGTGTCGGAGGTTGGCCTCGATCCGATTTGATGCTTTGTATAACGATGGGTTCCCCAGGACGATATGCTGGCGAACAATTTGTCGATAGCTATCATATCATTCGATAAGATTGAGCCATTGGCTATCGATATATATCTTCTTACAAGAAGGGTAGTTACAAACACGTATCGATAACAATCATACACAACGATAGGTAGATGATCACGTATACCATAGGTGTTTGCCTAACCAATAGGCTGTCTGTAGAACTTATCGATAGCTATTACGCGCGACGATAGGTTTTGGCAGAAACCTATCGCCATCCTTCGAAGGCCGTACACAGGTGTGGGAAATTCCTGCCGCTGCTCTCATCAACGTGGACCAATATACTGACCCTTACCCTATCAAACCCTATCAAACGGTACCGATAAGACAACACCGCGATAAGAACTTATCCCTATCTAGATAAGTTTTGACTTATCTAGATAAGTTTTGACTTATCATCCAAGATGTGAACTCACACGAACTAGCGCTATCCACTAGGCCAGACGGGGAAGCGAGAGAAAAACTCACTTTGCAAGAAAAGCTCGCTTACGCCGGGATTCGAACCCCTGACGTGACCTCTAGAAGGTTTCGAGGATACCATTAGACCACCGGGGCGACCGGCTATCGTACATACTGGCGAAAAAGAGAGTATGAAGATGTTCTTGGCACTGCTGCCTGTACCCACGTATCAGTTTTCTCTTCGGTACAGGTGCTACTACTCCAAGCAGGCTGACCGTTCTTTGGACTTGTTGCCTCGCTGCTGCCACCCTCTCCCCGCTTCCTCGTCGACTACACCCCAAAGGCATAATGGACAATTTTGTGATGATCAGTGCTGGCGACCTCATCGACAATACTCTAGGGGTGAAGTTTGGGCTGGCGACGTTGACCGCAGCGGCTTGTGGTCAAGTGGTAAGTAAGGAGAGCTGTGCTCGACTTGCAGCAGTCTCCGCGTTTCGCTCGCAGCGTCGCTCTGCAACATTGCTGTACGAAAAAGCCCTGGTGTTTACCCCCTCCTGTGTGACCCTGGAGGTTGTCGTTGTAGGAAAAAATACACTGAAAAATGTAGTACTCTACATACACTGAAAAGTGTAGTACACGCCCCACAACGAAAAATGGGGGGACTGTCGCCATAATAAATATGGTACCGTGGTAGGACGAAAACACGCGAAGATACACATTGAAAACTCCTCGTTTTATACTACTGCTGTACGTCGCTGGCAATGGCTTGCTCTGAGAGAACAGGTACGAAAGGGAGAGGGGGGTACGAACATGACGTTGAGGGAAACGCAGGAGAGAGACAACAACAACAAAAAAGGAGAGGCAATACACGCACCATACAGGTACAGAGTGTGCGCAGGGAAGCAAAGCCGCAGCGTGCGTTATATTCTCCATCCCTTGGCCCCAACCCCCCCCGAGGTTTGGCATCGACCAACTGTTTCTCTGTACAAGAACAAACCTTGGCAACAAAACGCACAGAACTACCTCATTCTCTTCCGGGAATGCACATGAGTACTCCAAACCCGGGCGCTCTTTCGTCTTTTATGGGCAAGATCGTGGGACCACGCCATTCAATACGGCCTTGCGCTCGTTTGTGCCGCCACTTGTTGTTGTCCCTCAACGCGCGCTTTTCGCCCTCTCGCAGGTGAGCGACGTGTGCGGAGTCTGCTTCGGAGGCACAGTGGAGGCCATCGCGACGAGGATGGGGCTGCCTGCCCCTGACCTTACGCTGAGACAACGGGGGCTCCGGGCGTGCAAGCTGGCGGCGACGTCGGGAGCTGCTAGTGGGGTCGTTGTGGGGTGCATCCTGGGGATGGCTACGCTCCTCTTCATGGACACCACCCACGCTGAACGGGAAAAGAAGCAGGTGATGTACTGCTATGGAGGTGTATATGTCTCGCCAATAACCCGAAAAATGACTTATCAAAAGGGGCCCGTTCAGAAACACAAGATCATGCTCATGCTCGTCAAGGGACGACAAGTAGTTGAGCCCTCAACGAGAAAGGAGAAATCGACAGAGAAGGGAAGGAAGCATGGGGAACCAGCCACAAGAGTTAGGGAGTTGATTTTCGTTGTTTATGGTAGTCTGCCCCCAATGTGTGGCGTAGGTTGGGTGTTTCGTATGGTTCTTGGCCGAAGGGGGCCTAACAAGGGCCGTATTGATTGCTGGTGCGGGTGTTGAACAGAGATGTTGCTCCAATTCTCTGCGCCGATGTCACATTGCCTTCCTTCGTTCGGGCGACACGCATGGTCAACGTGAGCGTGTAGCCCAAACCGCATGCATACCATTCCCGTTCCTACTTGTGAGAGTTCTGCCCAACTGCTTTGATTCAGCCCTTGTGACTGGGGCCTACGGCATGCTTGCGACAACCAATAGCGAGAGAGCTGTCTCTGATGCTGATGCGGAGTTGAGTGTCTGCCGCAAAAGAGAAGCTGCGGGCTGCGCCGAAGTTTTTTGTATCGTTATTCCGTGACACGCATGCCATCGATGGAGCGCCGCTGACGGATGATATGTCAACGACCCGGGACAGGCTGGGCGCCGCAAACACACAACCCGTAGACTGAGCGCAAAATATTTATGTTGCGCCCCCCCCCCGCGCTTTCGAAGGGCGGTGGCTTGCTCAGGACAAACTTCTCGGTCGCCCGTTACCTTCGCCACAGCTTGTTCTTTGTTTCTCTCGCCACCTCTTTCCGTGCCGCGGAGAGGCTTGAAAGACTCCGGTTACCTTTGCTGTGCCGTGTAACTCCTGTGTCCGGCAGCGAGAGATGGACACGCTGTTCGCCACCATCCTCGATGACGGGCACAATATCGTCGGGGCGGCCAAGTGTTCCTTGTTTTTTGTCGACGAGGAAGAGGGAGAGCTGTGGACCAAGGTCGCCACCGACAACGACGGAGAGATCAAGGTCAGGACTTTCTGCCATCTCTGTCGATTGAGCGAGCGATGAGCGGAGGGTGGCGGTGACGGCGTGTGGATTCTTCCTCATCCCTCCTGCTATGTTCGCTAGGATAGACGACGGATATCTACTGGTGTTGAATTTCTGTTTCAGCCGAAGGGACGGGGTAGAGCGATGGTCCGTGCAGGACGCGGCCGGGATAGTGTGTGGTAGTTTCCGTTGGTACCTCGTCCGGACAACCGCCCCTTGACATTCTGCTTCAAGCAGTAGGATGTACTGCGTGATGCTGACTCGTTGGGTGTACCGTTGTTTGGTACTGTCGGCACCACGTGACCCTGCCTTCCTGCCCCTGCGTTTGTACCCTGGTTCTCGTGCCGGTTCGGAAACTGGTTCTCATGCCTGTTCGAAACCTAGACGGGCAAGCTGATAACGATCCCGATCACGACAGGGATCGTTGGCGAGGTGGTCAGGACGAAAAGGCTGCTCAACGTCGCTGATACGTCGAAGAACACGTGAGTGTACGAACGAAGCACCTGCGGCGGCTCCTAGGTTTCCCATTAAATATAAACATAATTAAATCAGCACACGATTGATTCATTGTTCCGATTTTTCCTGGGTGTCAGTCTAAACCGTTCGGTGAGGCATGTCTGAAGCACCCGCCGGGGTCACACAGGAGCACCTCTCCGTATTTTCTCCTCCGGTGCTTGCTTTCGTTTGGCTTCGCATGAACGGTCGCGAGAGTTTGTAAACGTTCTGTGGAGAGTTGTTCGTCATGCGGGATTCTGTTTTGGCCATAGAGAACCAACGTCATCCTTCAGGCACAAGTGCCGCGCCTACAGCCGTTGGCAATGAACCAACGTCTCTTATCTGTGCATACATTTGTCCACTTTTGTTTTTTCCGACGGACGTTGGTTTCGTAAATGAGCAGAAACTACTACAAGGGAGTGGACCTCGCGATGAAGACCACAACACGGAATATGTTGGCGGTGCCGGTGATGAGCCGTAGTGACGAGAAAGGCGACGGGAAAGTAATCGCGGTGAGAGAGCACCTCCATCTTTCAGCTATGTAGCGTTTCGCCGTTGGGTATCGTGTGTGGTTGCCTGATTTGGTTGTGAACGTTCGTGTAGAGGAGAGGCAAGTCACGCTGCCGTCGAGGCACGCTCTCCCGCGGACTGCCCTCGTCAGCGGAACCGTAGTCGCGTGCAGCAACAACTACAGAGAAGTAACCTCAACGGCTCCCTTGGAATCTCAACCGGTCTTGTTGCGAGATACTTGGACGTTATTACCGGACATATTGATTGATGATGACACCATATACTTATTCTGCGTGTGTGTGTGCATTTTTTGTTGAAGTCTTGGTTCGTCCGTCGTCCACGTTGTTTTGAAGCACCCAACGAGGCTATCGTTGTTGTATGTATTCGCAGTTGTGTTTGATTATTCCCGACCCTCGGATGCTTTCGCGTGTTCCCGCATTTCCTGCGCCCCATCTCCATGCGCCACCACGACCAACCCCTGAAGGTTATTGAGATGATGAACAAACCGGAGGGCTTTGACGAGAACGACGAGAAACTGGTGGGGATGCTTGCCGCCCACGTGGGGGCCTTCATGGGGCAGGTGTCGGAGGGAAGGGCGGGCCGACACGAGTACGGCGAAGCGGTGCCCTTGCGGCGCTTGCCCACTCCCAAGAACTGACCAGGTCACGTGGGCAGGACGTTAACGCCAAACCCGAAGGGTATTTACAGTCGTTTCCGCTTTTGAGCCGCTGGTGGTGGTCCTTTGATAATCAGTGTCGTTAGAATTCCCCCCCCCCCGCCCCTCCCAGTTGTTTTGACGTCCTGCGGGGCTCCACGCTTCTGAACAACATTGTAGTGGAGTGTATCTGTTAAGCGGGGAGTCGTAGTGTTTGTGTCCTTCAAGCAGGAGCGACCGTAACCTGGTGTGCTTAGACTACTTTAGTCGCCGACTGCTGCGCTTGAAGCTGTGTAATCTCGTGTGTCCAGAGTGTCATTTGTTCCGCAATGAATTGGCGGTCATCTTGCATCTTGATGGTTGAAAAATGCGTGCTAGTTTGAGGCTTGGGTGGCGTTGTGCACGATAATTCTTGTGTGATGACGCTCTTTGAAGTCCCAAGGCACATCCAACCGTAGATCCCGTAGATGAGAGTGTTGTCCTCGACAGCTGGGCCTTGCGAGGTAGATCGCTACATGATAGCAGTTGCTCTCCTGCAAGCGACGTCGTGAGGGAAGAGTTATGTGTGTGCTACCTGTAGGTTGATGTCAATAATTAATTTCTTGTCCTTTTTTCCATCTTTTAGGGGTTTGGAGTGAGACAAGTCCGCCCTGCTGCCCACATTCGTTCGCAGAACATCGCCAGTCAGCACTGCCGGCCTTGAGAGAAGGGCGAGGCAGACGGTGCATGAAGCCCACGGCCGGTTGGTAGGGTGAAATGGGCACGGCCGCCAATCATTGCCGTGCTCGCACCACGTATTCTTGTCGTGGTCTTGGATCATCATGTGGCGCAATCAATCGTGATGAAAAACCCGGTGTACAATAAAATACAATACAACAAAAAATGATTTTTTATTTCTTGATTAATGACGATAAATGACGCGCCAAACTTTACCAAGCTCGCTTGTGTCCACTCCATATCATTACTGAAACAAAAAACACCCACGAAAAACGAGCACATGCAGCATGCATAAAATACTATACTTTCCTACGCAAGTGCGAACGCCGAACGAGTTATCGGACGACTCCAAAACGCCCGCGGACTCCGCGCCCGCCAAAACCACCTGTACTCGGTAGAAAAACATCCAACTGAGCACACACTGGGGTACACAGATTAGATACGGTACCTAGAATCATAGCGCACCTTGCCTGTCGATGCGCGCTTCTCATTAACTCGCCAGCCAGTCAACCCAAGCAGCCAAGCGAACAACCAAACCGTCTCCACCAGTCTCTCCCTCCGTGGTGGTTGGCTTATCTGCCTGGTCAGTTAGCCAGTCGGTCGGTTGGCCGGGAGGGGGGGAGAGAAGACCCTCGCGGCAAAAACTGTTGCCCTTTTTTCTCTTGCTTCACTTCAATCCAACTCTCTCTCCGCTCCTGACGACAACCCGAGCTAGTACCCAGTCGACACACTCAACACGGGACATTGGGGTGGTAAGGTAGGGTAAGGAAAGGTAACCTACTGCTAGTTCAGTACTGCCACGGACGATGGGAGGCACATGTGGCCAAGAACCAACAAAAAAAGAAGAAAAAAACAAGAGGCATTACACCATACAACGAGTGCATTGAGGTATTGTGTGTTAGTTGCGGTGTTCGCCTCCAGACCCCTTGCTCGCCTGCCCAAGAATTCAACTTGACCCCGTGTCATGATCAGTCTCCCTAGACCCCCCTTTCCCCCCCCCCCACCCCCAGCCCCATCTCTCAGAGATAACCGGACCCTAAACGAAACGAACCAACGTGCTGTGCTGTCAACATGTCATTTCACACAGCCCACGCCATGTGATCGGCGCCCGCTCTCGCGCTTGAGGTTGCGTAAGCTACGGTACGGTACACCACCATCGCCCCGTAGCGACCCACCTACCAAAAATCCCCACCGCCACAGAGAAACAAACGGGACGGAACATGCAAACAAACCCACTTGTTCTTCGCCACGGAACGGGACGCAAAGCGCCCCTTCTTGTCGACCCAGCACCCCCCTCCCTCTATCAAGCCAACGCAACGGAACGGAAAGGCTTTATCATCAGTCAGTGGGAAAGGTATTGACCTAACCCTATGCAACTCTTGTCCAGTCCCTCCCCCCCCCCCCCCCTAGCAGTCCGATACCGCTGCTTGCACATGCAAAAAACATAAAGGCCAAGGACGGACAACATGAATGGTCCCTACGGCCCTACTCGTGTGCTGCCGCTGCCGCTGCCGCCGCTGCTGCTGCCGCTGCCGCCGCTGCTGCTGCTGCTGCCAGTGATGATGATGACCCAGCTGCTGCTGCTGCTGCTGCTGCTGCTGCCGGCATCTCGACCCTCAGTCCCTCAGTCGCTAGTCACGACCTCTCCATGGCGTCCCAATTCTGGCACCGCTTCGGTATCACCGCACAACAAACAAACACAACTTCGCAAAAGCTGTAGACAGGTGGTGCCGCATATGGCCGCCACCGCCGCTACTTCTCGACACGGAGAGCTCCGATCAAAATCAACCCCAGCCAACCAAATGAAGAGCAAGAGTAAGAAATTTCGAAATGCAACACCACCCACTACCACCTCACAAATCCGCCCCCACCGTACACTCTAGAGTACGGGCGCGCAACATTTTACCATCGCACCAAAACAAGGAAAAAGACAAGAGCAAATGTCAGGCAAGAGACACTTCCGCGTTGGTTTTAGAGCCAAAAAGCCGCCACCGCAGCACCAGCACCAGCAGCATCAGCAGCCGCGGCAGCACCACTGCAGCAGTAATTCTGCAGCAGCGGTTCATTTTCTTTCGGGAATGTGGTCCCCGGACGCATGAAAAAAATAGAAAGAGCCGGACAGCATAACCGGACGGACCAGGTACGTTGCGACTTGCTCAGCTGCTGGCCTGTGTCTGTTGCTACTATGATTCACGGAGCCCCTTTCCCGCCCGCCCCCCAGTCAACATGGACCATTTTCATCAGATCAACCCGCGCGCGCATCCACTCCACGAGGGAAGAGACAGAAACAAGCCAAGCGGCGGCCGACTATAATATTAGTCTTGAAAGACAACAACAAAAAAAAATATCGTTTCCGAAAGCGACGAAGCGCTACACGCACAAAAACCAAAAAGGAAAAAATGCGGTCCATTCGAAAATGGCGCTGCACTCATCTACTCTTGCCTCACACCGCGCTCGGCAGACTACACGCGGCGCTACGTCGACACCACAACGGGACCGGACAGACTTCTCGAAATCATCGATCGCATCTCATATCCCATCTCCCCTGCCTTCCTCACAGCCTCTACTCACTTTCGTTCACCACTGTCAGGAAAATTCAGGGAAAAAGGGAAGAGTTACACCTCACACCACCCACCCCTTGGGGGCACGAAAAAAAACAAATCGCTCCGAGTGCAAGGGACGACCAAATAGAACTAAAAAAACGGTCGCATCAGCCCCGCAGTTCACTTCTTCGCCTCCTCCCCCCATCCGGCAGAGTTGCTTTTGACAATGGCATCAACAACAACACCACCCGTCCGCCGCCCCACCCCGCATGCCCGCACTCAACACCACACCACACACCAAAACTAAACGGTAAACACCTGACTCTGACTCTGATTCTGACTCGCACACAAGGCCCACCAACGCATCCATCGATCGCGTCTCACGCGCACAGCTCGGCGGGGCGGGGGAAGTGAAGTAAGGAAGGGCGAGATGAAAGCTGCGGCCAACCTGTTTCATCCTGGCAACAAGAGCCGCCAGCATACCAAGGGCTGTCTTCAAATCGGGGCATGGGGTGATGTTGTCGGCCCTTCTTTCGGGCCCCCTTTTCTCTTTCTTGTTATCTGATCATCCTCGATCCCTCATCACGAGGGCTGCGCGGCGGAAGGCGGGCTTCCGTTCCCTCCTTCGGTTCGATTCGATTCCGTCCCACCAACAAACACCAAACAACCAAAGAGCGGAGGAGGGGCGGAGGGGGCGAAGAGTGAGAGAGAAGGGGGGTCGAAGGTCACCTAACGGCAACTTGCATTTAGTAACGAAGCTGAGTCTGGAAAGCAGCAAGAAGCGACAGGGAACTTGCAACTTCTCTGCTACCCTGTTAAGAGTATTTCATACCGCACCCGACGAGAACAAAGTTAAGGCAGGCACTCCATACACGCTGCATGGAACGACACAACGGGCATGGGCGCCACTTGGGAGCTGCCCAGCCAGGTACCTACGAGCTGCAGGCGTTGCACTCTTTGGTGTAGAGTATGCCGTTAGAGGAGTGGACAGAGGCAGACGGAGAGTGAGAGCGTGCATAGGCGTGCTGCATGTGTCCGGCACGAGTGAAAATGGCCTTGGCGCTGCCTGTCGTCAACCCAAACTAGTCCTAAACCTGGAGGTGATGTCACCGACAAATTTCGGACGAACTTCGCACAATTGAGGTGTCCCCGAAAGACCTTCGACCACCCGGGCGCCCTCGGGAACACCCCCTGACGCTGAACACCGATGGCAGGTACGCAGAAATGGCGGCCAACAGCCGTAGCAGCGATATACAGAACAATCTAAATCGCCATCATCATCATCCATCACCCATCATCCCGACCCACACGGCACCACGAAACACAGAGAGGCAAGTAGATAGATACGTATACGGGCCTTTTCGTGCCCGTTTCCCTCCTGCCTCTACGTTTCGGGAAAGTGAACGAGTCCATTGCGGCGGGGACACTATTGATAGAGGCAGGAAGGGGGGGGTCGTGACCTCTTCAAAGCAAACAACCGGTTTTTCGGGATCTGTCAATCAGGCGATTACTCTCGAATGATACCCCCTGCCTGCAAAGGAAGGTGGGGTCAAGACACGCCTTGAGGAGTCTGGCAGGGCTATCGTTAAAGTTGCTCTGCCTCCGTTCGACTGTCCGCCCCAGGCCTACAATGACGGCGTGGGTCTACGATACGAAAAGAAACGAAACGACACGACATCACCGCCTCCCCGCGTTCCCAGGTACAGTCGTGCATCAGATACAAGACGGTACCTCACAAGAGGGGGCACCGATACAACATGATCGAACTTGCTTGTCACGGACTCTACCCGTTTAGTATAGCTGAGTATTCTTCTCTTATTCCGGTGCAAGAGGAGGCTCCGATATAAGAGCGTCGAGGGCTTTTGTCACACCACCCTCTTAGATCTTATATCGGAGCGCCCCGACTTGATCGCATTCCGGGCACCTCAATGCTCCATCCAGAGTAGCAGTCTCCGATCTTCAACAGGCAACACAGACACTTTTACAGGACACAAATAACAACCGGCACAGCAAGTACCACAGCATCAGGATCCCTTTCGGGAAACGCACACAAAATGCCGCCCCCTGGGCCTCTCAACGGCTCTTACCCATCGTGAGCTTGGTCTGCATAGCGTGTTCCAGAGACTGGTGCGGCAGAGCAGCGTTCGCCGCCGCGCTAGGGCTTGAAGACCTGGCCCTCGACACTCCCTTGGGGTCCGGACTGGCGGCGCTGCCTCCCACGCTGGACGCCGGGGCCGCCATGTACGCCGAGTCGTCGCGCCCGTGGTATCCCGAGTCCTGGAACGGACCGTGTCGGCGGGGAGCGAGGGCGCCAAGGGTAGCAGCAGAAGGCGGAGAAGGGGGGGGGGGGGGGGGGGGGTTGCCGTTGAGTGCCCGTGAAAGCAGTGAGGAGATGACCGGACCAGAGTATGGTATTGCTGGCGGCCTTGTCTTGTCCCTGTGCGGAGTCTCACGCGCGGAATGGAAGAAAGCAGTGCAGATGACGCACCGACATGCACCTACCTGCTACACATGCGCTACGGTCAGCAGGGCTAGAAATCACAACGGCCGTGCGGAAGAGAGCTTCTCATCGCGTGATCTTGAAAACGAACTTCAGAAAAAAAGAAGCTACTCCCTACGTTCGTCTCTCACGGCCGTGACCCGATTGAACGCAATGAGGCATGAGCTGTGACTCGTGTCTTGTGCACGATTCAAGTGGTACACTTTTTGCCGACATGGGGAGGAACAACCGAGACTCAGACAGACCTGGGGGTTGCGTGGACGCTGAAATACTCATAGCGTCGAAAAACAAAGTTGCGCACTCAGACAAAACCGACAGTAGTGCTCATGTGCACTGGTGGGCACCCTTGGAAAATCGTAAAACAGTAGCGACTGATGCCCAATCGATGAGGGTGGAAGATGGAGCCAATCATGCGGAGACCCATGCAAGATCGATGGTTGGTTGTGCGCAGCCCCCCAGCAAAAGGGATACTTGACGCAACAGCGGTCCTGGAAGTTCGAAACTTCGACACTCGGCCGATCACTTACACAAGGAAATCAGCAGCCCAGCCCAGCACATCGCGCGCGTTCATTCAACACAGTAGGCAGCAGGTGGGCGGGCGGCACTGTTCGGGAACAATTGGCAACCAACTCGCGGAAGGCAGCCGAGCAACACACCACCCGCCGAAGCGGGACATGCCACCCACGCCAAGGCTCCGGAGAGGAGACAGGCCGCTACCCCATCGAGGGGGGGCGTCACGTTAGCCTCTCATCCACCAAGCGTCAATTTACGCGCGTGCTAAATTTATCACTACCAAGCGTCAAATTGCCGGCGTCGTGTCTGCCCCATATCGGTATCTGCATGGTATCTATTCACCTGGTCTTGAGGCTTCTCGTCCCCGGCCGCCTTGCCGTCGACGCCGCCGCCGGCCGAGGGGTACCCACCGGTCTCATCCGCGGTTCCCCGCCCCCGGTAAATATACGCCAGGTGCGGGTGGTCGTTCGAGCGCGCGCCATACTTGTCCCCGCCACCCGTGCTAGCCCCCCGCGGGCCGGAGTCGATTCCCACCTCTGTGGCGGAGGCGTCGCCTTGGTGGTGGTCCTCCTCGCCGCCGCCGCCACCGCCTCCGCCGCCGCCGCCGGAGACGGTGAAGCCCGGCGCGACGCCTGCGCCTCCCGTGTCCGCCGCCGGGGATGGGGGCGGCAGCTTGTCGTCTCCGCCCTGTGGAAGTGTGCACGTGCGTGTGTGTGTTTGTCAGCAGCCGCCAGGGGAAACGGAACGGGGCGCTATGCTCGACATATTTCTTCGTACTGTCGAACCGTGTCGTCGGGAAATAGACGGGGCAACCATTTTGAACAAATATATCTACTCGTCAGCGAATTATTTGTTCGGGTTCCGTGTTTGGGGATGGTGTCCCAACTTGCTGAATACCACCGAACAGCAGGTACACAGCAGGGCTTCGTGATACAAAAGCCCGGTGTACGAGGTAGCAGCAGCAGCACAAAAATATAGGCAGAGATCATCTAAGCGAGCAAAGCAGCTTTCCATGACAGTGAACCAGAGGATACAACTAAGGAGAGACAGGAGCGTACACCTAACAGGGCGACGTGCCTTCCGGAATAACAAATGCATTTGAGGCTATTTCAACATCGTCTTGAGCGGATAGAACACCACCGTGAGATCAACCGCAGCATGCATAGCGTTCTACATACCGGGGGATGCCATCGTTTTAACGGGTGCACTACTAGAAAAGGTGATGTTCTACGCTTCTACGTAGCGTCGAGACAAGACGTCACAAGACGTGTCACGCGCGAGAATGAAACCAAGATATTGTCCCAAGTTTTCGGATCGCTCGAAAGCGGGCACTCACCAGACTGCGTGGAAACGATCAAGCAAACCACGATTTACTTCAACTTTTGACGACACACTAAGCCACAATCACATGGGGCATCCAGCGATCCATCGATCATCTCGCAACTTAACCGCACGTGCGTGGTGTGTGGCACTACACGACGACTTCTGTCGAGGGAACTCTCTTTCTTTCAATCAGCAGAAGTCACTCCGGCAGGACTCGGACCCAGGTTAACCACAATCTCTCACTTTAATTAGCAACACGACTCCAATACGGTTCCGATAACTTCGGGTGCAAACAGGTCGAACAACGCACAACGTCTCATCATTGTGGTATCATAATGGCCACCGTGACTTGTGTGTGTGATAAAACCTTCGCGACGACAGCAGTGCGCACGCGCACCACACATGTCATGCGGAAAAAACATGAGCAGCCATTTGTCGTCAACAAAGACTACAGGAAAACAAGGCAAAAGGTAAACAGCGACACTCAGCTCAGCTCAACAACTACTGCTGCGCCACGTGGTACAAGCAGTACTCAGGATAAGCCCGCTCGAGATACTGCCAGGTCGCTCGCTTACTTGGTGGTGCCGAAGGCCCGCGTTGTGCCCGGGCAGGAGCGGCTGGCGGAAGTGGGTGGTCTGCTGCATCCTCCCAGCGGCGACGCCAGGCCCCATCATCCTAGGAGACGGGGCCGTCACGTACCTCTCCCTCTCCTTGTCCTTCTTGTGCTGGACCTTGAGGCGCTTGTGTTCGATCTGTTATGTATGCGTGCATTCAAACAAGCAGTCTTTATATTACCATGTGGTACATACCAAGAGATGAGTAATTAGTGTACGGGTTGATATGCATTGATGAGTTGTTCTGTTAATTGGTTGGTTTCGCCGGGGGAAGGGAAGGGAAGGGAGGGAAAAGGCGAGAGGCCATAGAGGGATAATCTTGTCAATGTAGTCGTTTGTTCCGCATTTCGTGGCAGCCGCAGGGGCGGTGGGGAGGGGGGGGGCGGGGGTGGGTGGGGGGGGGGGGGGCG